AAACCACGCTGGCTCCTTGGGTCGAACTGGTACCGAGGAGCCTGAAAAGCCAATGAAATTCTGAGACTGTGGAGCGGGACCAAGGAGTCCAGATGGCGCTGTGAGTTAGGTATTGGACTGCTGACCTCAAGGCTGGCAGTTCAAACCCACCAGGCGCTCCGAGGGAGAAAGGTGAGGCTGGCAGCACCCGTCAAGAGGTACGGTCTCAGGAATGGTGCACGAGGTGCTAAGAGTCGGAAATGGACCCCAGGGCAGTGGGTCTTTGGCTTCCTGGGGGAGAAGAGTGAAACGGCTTCTCTTCTGTGAGCCCGTGCCAGGAAGCAGGAGTGAGGAGCCGCAGGGGGCCAGCAGGAGCGCAGCTCCACTCTGGGGTCCGTGTTCGCACAGCGAGCGTGGTCCTGGCTGATGCTGGACGAGGGACGAGCACAGGGCTGGACGCCCAGGACCGTGCCACCGAGACACGCAGATGGTTGACCCCAGGCAGAGGGACGGAGGGAAGCTTAAGTCTAGGTGAGCACGTCTAATGGAATTGTCTGTCACCACGGCCTGCTCTTGCTTCTGCAGGCTCGTCACAGAATGACTTGTCGCTGCTGTCAGGTGGCGTCGGGTGGGTGGCGGCAGACCGGAACCCCCCTGGGGGCTCATCTTCCGGCGCTTCTGGCCAGGGCTCCACTGTGACCTGTGAGGTCATCACCTGCCACTCTCCGGAGCAGACCATGAGGCCTTTCCTCCCAGTGCCGCACACACACGTCTCCCGTGGGTGTGGGTGACACCCTGCTGCGCTGGAAGTCACGCCAATGCAAGCTCCCACAGAAGGTGATGGGTGAGGTGGGCGGGGGATGGGGTGAGGGGTGGTTTCAGAGCCTCCCTCCCAGCAGCCTTGGCTGACAGAACCCAACAGGGAAGGGTGCCTGACCCCGGTGACCCTAACCGGGAGCCCAGCCATAACCAAAGCTGCACTTCCCAGAGGTTTCGCAGCTTTATATGGGCAGCAGTGTAATGACATTTTCTTCCAGGGTTCGCCCTGAGCCTGAAAACACAAACACAAACACTGGTGTGAAGCTCCTTCCTGCTCCCCCCACCCCGCAGGGCTGCTGCTCCACAGTGAGGGGGCTGTAACAAGTCCCTTCCGGGCTGCTGAGCCACCCGCAATTCCCCAGTGGCCTCTGCCAAGTGCTCTGAAAATTCCTGGAATCCTCACTTTCCAGGCTCTGCTATCGAATCCTCTCCCTGGGGAGTATTTGCAAACCTGCCCTCCAGGAAGTTTGGCCAACTGGAGGCGCCTGCCCCCTCCCCCCACCGGTTCTGGGCCTCATCTAGCGGTATTCCTGCTTTGTGATCAACAGTGTAGCAAATGAGTAACTCCCGTACAGCGCTCTGCTACACTGTAGCAACAAGACCACGGCAACCTCCACTGTGATGCCAGCCTGCTGAGCTGGACGGGAAGCAGCTCAGAGAGCATCCCTCCCAGAGGCCCGAGGGATGCCCGTAAGCCTGGTCCCACCCAACAATCGAGGCCCCTGGTCCCGCAGTATGCGCTCCCTGTTTCATGGCTGAGAAAGAGAGGTGGACTGTCTCAATCTCTAGTCAATTCGCCTTTCACACAGGAGCAATATGCTCCCCAAGTCCTCTGTGGGCACGAGAGCACTACCCCACTATGCCGAAGCTCCCTTGGGTCTGGGAGGTCTCTCGGGGAATGGGGGCATGCGGCAGGATCTCCATCTTCGGGGGGCTGGGGACCACATGCTTTAGCAGTCACCAAGTGACCTGTTCATGGCACAGCAAACAGGGTGCTGGTCAGGATCGCCAAAAGCGGTCCTCAAGGACCACGGAGGCCTCCTCTCCGATGACCGAGGTATGAAAATCCCAGCCCCTATGGACTGGACGTCCACAGAACCAAACACTCTCCAGTCCCACGCCTTCCTCACCATTGATCCTGTGCCTGAGCGTATTGTTCAGCCGCCGGGTCCATCCGTCTCACGGGGGGCTTCTTTTCCACTGCCCTCCACTGTACCAAGCACGATGTCCTTCTCCGGGGCCTGGTCTCTCCTGACAACACGTCCAAAGGACGCGAGTCTCGCCCTAACTCCCTCCTTAAAGAGCCTTCTGGCTGCACTTCTTCCAACAGAGGACTTTTGAAGTAATTTTTTTTT